ACCCTATAAACCCTAAACCCTAACACTGTTCCCTAAGACTCTGACCTGAACCGTCGCCGGAGAAAAGAGACGAACGAGAGCTAGACCCATGGCAGCTCTTTTTGGGTTGGCCAACCTAAAGGATACTCGAACTATGGAGGTAAGATAACAGCTACAAGCGAAACTCTGGCGCTCACGTAAAGTCCCGAACATCTGCGCTGCCGCAGAGTCAGATTGCAGGCTTTGGATTGGGAGGAATCGTAGTGACATGCTTGGTTTCCAAGGCCTGTATGTCCATAGCAACAGCATGTCCCTGATTCTGTATTCTGGGTGTTAAAGATCTTCTTTTCTCAACTTCTCTGCAAAACAATCATGGTAGACTGTGAATGTGTCGTTTTGGCTGGGGCTTGACGGCCTGAACCGTGTCACTTGCAACCACTTCTTGTAGCTCAGTAGTCCAAGCTTCAAGCAACTTCTGCTATCCCCTAAACCCTAAATTGCAAGATCGTTTACGTGCTCCCTGCAATGTCCGTGCAGCCCTAATTCCTTGGAGCACAGAAGCCAATATGGTGTGGGAAGTTGCAGTTTAGGACCTTTACCCATAGGCTCCATAGTAGTTTCGTTTTTGTGGTAGAAATTGAGGATCCAGAAAGGTAATCCCGAAAAGCAACGACTATGGAGCCTACGGGTACTAGCAAGATATTCTCAGAACCCTGCCTTTCAGAGGCAGTTTGCCATCAACGGCTGCCGCAACGCATGGATCGTGAAGCCGTCTGGGAAGTCCCGTGGAAGAGGGATCAAGGTGCCCTGCGGTGGGAGAATCCGGTGAATGAGCAAGGAAGGTGTGTTTGGGGCTCAATTATTTAGTGTTTTTGAGGGAAAGAGTACAGCAACACGACAATTCGGAGCTTTCCACGATCGCGGATTACAACCCCTCGCAGCCAAGGCCGTGACGCTTCATATAAGAATCGTTCCAATCGGTCTACGCAAAGTAAAGAGCGCAGCCCTAAACTACAGTTCTAAGGGTCTAAACACTTACTCAAATCCTTCACTGGGGTAGAGACTTTTGGAAAGCTAGAAACCCCGGGCTTGGCGGCTTCATAAGTTTAGGGCTTAGGGTTCATGTTCAACCGTCTCATGTACTTTACAGCGCCATCATTGACAACTCCAGATGGGTTCTATATATTGTAATGGGGGATACTTCCCTAAATCATATTTCCTTATATAGAAACCCTACGTTCTACTAGTAGGTACTTCGAAAACTTTTATAAAGGAACCCCCAACCCTCAACCCTCAAAGGAACCCTTTAAAGGAATCTTTAAAGGTACGTAGGACCCTTTAAGAAGACTCGAAGCAACAAGAGCCTGGAACTGGGGGCCCCATCCCCAAGGTATGGGGCTTCGGCACGGGATCTCTGGGGTTATGCTTTTGGGCTTTAGGGGCTCTGTTTGTGGGTTCCTTTAAGGGTTCCTTGAAGGGTCCTACAAGGGAGTGTATGGGTTTGGGGGTGCAGGGTTTATGGGTTTAGGGGATTACTTAGAGGCCCAGGGCACTTAGTAAGTCGGTTATTAAAGTGGGGTTAAATTTAGGACCCTAAACTATGGGAATTATGGTATATGCCTTATTATGGGTCATGCAGGATTTATATCATCAACCGTAGAATCTCTTGCAGGTAATGCGCGAGCTAGACGAGATCTTCCGGTACTGTGCCAGCGATGGCTTCCAATGGGTCTGCCAGAAGTACATCGAGAGGTGGATCTGGCCTGGCTTGCCTTAGGGTTTACGGTTTAGGGTTTAGACGGTTTAGGGTTTAGACGGTTTAGGGTTTAGACGGTTTAGGGTTTAGGGTTTAGAGGGTTTAGGGTTTAGGGGTTTAGGGTCTAGGGCAAAAGGGATCCGTCCTCGTTCCCTTCAGCTCAAAATAAGAGCCAGTTGCTCCCTGCAACTGTCGACCTCGCCCCGGAAGTACACCCTCAACCCTATTGTTCCATCACCATGCACACATCGAAACGCAGGCCGGGTGGCATAGTCAGAGGCGTTCCGGCGACCATAGGCCGCATGCGCTGAACAGAAACAACAAATTTGGATAAAGCCCACATAGAACTCCAGAACCCCTTCGAGCCAACTCTGCATCCCAAACGCAAAACGGCCGTTTTTTGGAACCCGAATGCACCTGATATCCACTAATGTCGAGACCTTAAACCAGAACGCAGCGTTCACTAGTCTAGTCTAGCTGCCTTTCGAGTTTGTTCAAGGTCTTGTTGGACATCTTTTCATACTATGGTTACTGTCCTTGCGCCTTCTGAAGCAATATGCGTATACATATAGTTAAAGCCCAAACCCCTAAAGGGGTTCTATATCAGGAACGAACATTAAGATTTGGGGAAGTATCCCCCATGACAGTACCTAGGACCCTTCTGGGAGAGTATCCTTTATAGATCCCTTGTCTGAACCCTTAAAGGAACCCTAAACCCCTACATAGGACCCTTTGGGATAGTGTCCTGACGGATCCCCTCAAAGGATCCCTGAAAGGAACCCTTAACCCTGAACCCTAACCCTGAGGGTCCATGTGCCCAAGTAGTAGATACATTGGCCTTAATGTAGTCCCTTTTTAGGTACTTTGGGGCCAATGTATATACTATTTGGGTACATGGACCCTTAGGGTAAAGGAGCCCAAAACGCCAGGCCGCAGCTCATCCATGGCTACAAGTTCGACATTCGGCAGTGGGCCCTGGCCCCAGAAGTTCAGGAATGTTTTGCCTGGGAGTCGAAACCTTTGTCGGAACCAGTTCACCTTGCAGGGTGGTGTTGTTTGTGAGAGTGGTCTCTTTTTGTGGCTGCAGCTGCACTGCACCCCTGCCAGACAGAACACAACTTGCAGCCGAATTTCCGCTAAAGCCCCAATGCCCCCTGTCTCATGCACCAGACTCTGCGTAAAGCATCGATCCATTAACTCCCACGAGCCTGCGCACATGTCTCCAAATGCTTTCAGCTGCGTTTGGTGATCCAAGAAACGATGGCAACTGGCACACTTGGTCAATCTAAGGCATCCTGTTTTACTTCTGGTGGTTCCCAATAGTTGAAAAAAAGGCAGCCCGCAACAGCGATCCTTGTTGAAAGAATCCCAGCACAGGAGACAAGCAGAAAGAATTTCTCGAGCGCATCCCCGAGGAATGGAGGGCAATAACAGTGAGACAGCTGCAGGGGGTTCGGAAGGACATCATCAGACGCTGCCCTTCGCACATTGCCATGGGAGGCCTCCCCTACACTTGTAAAGCTGTAGGCGGTAAAGCCCCGAAACCCCAAACCTGGAACCCCGAAACCTCTGAACCCTTTATAAACCCCTACTGGTTATGAGCCTTTAAACCCTATAAGCCCTGAGCCCTAGACCCCGAACCCAGAACCGTAACGTTGTCCCGGGAGGCTTGAGCCAAAGTCGGTTTCACAACCGAGCGAGGGTCAGCCAGGAGGCTACGGGTGCCTTGGGCGCCTTCTTACCAGACTCCGACAGCGCCGAGGAGCAGGCTCGTTGTGGGGGTTTGAGAAAATAGGGTACTAGGGTACCCTAACAAAGAGGTAAGATAGTAATGAGGTTGCGTAAAACAACGACCCCTGAATAGGGTACCCTGAGGTCCACGTGAAAGTAGAAAAAGGAGCCTTCCAAGAAGGCCACGCCGTTCACATCTCCGGCAAGGACTGTGGCGTGGCTACGTCCATCACGTGGTGTTCGGACAACTGGACCTCCGTCCGAGATTGGCAGACGCCCTTAACTCCAGAGGATGTTACCCTCTACGACTTCAACTACTACCGGCTCTCACCATCCACTGTGCCCATGGGCATCCTTATTGTAGGACTGACGGCGTCTGCTTGCGGCAGTGACGATGTCTGCCTTCAAGAGAGCACCCGAGCGAAAGGCCGCGTTTCCTCCGTTGCAGACGAAGAGGTGAGGATTTTGGTGGACCGGGGCCGATTCGAAGTAGGTTACTCGGTAGGCCAATGAGACTTTTGATATGTTCGTTTATTGGTTCCAAGAGGGTCTTATTTACAAATCTGTCCCTAAACCCTAAGCCCCTAAGCCAGAGCCTTTTTTACTGTTAATGCCGAGCCCAGGTGCGCCGATCACCGTCGCTGGCAAAGTTGTGGGTGCTCCAGATGCCTTCCTTTGGAACGACGAGGTACCCTTTAGGGTTGAGGGTTTAGGGTTCAACCCTAAGCCCTAAACCCTCATGGAATGACGAGGTACGGCATTGCAGCTATGTCGAGCTTCTGACCAAGAAGCCGCAGAGCCTGGGTCTTGTTTGTACTGAAGTAACTGCTAAGTGCAGAAGAAGGCGAAACCCTGAACCCTCTGAGCCCTAATCCTTCAACAGTATAAAGGGTTTAGGGTGTAGGGTTTTAGGGTTAGGGTTCATGGCTATAGCATGATAGCAGCAGCGTATGCCAGTGGGAGTGTCATACCAATGAGGGAGCTGTATTGAAAAGAACGATCGCCAAATGAGCTACTGTAGTTTCCAGTGTCTGAAAGTCCCAAATAAACCAAAAGGAAGGTAGGGGTGTGTGGTTTCGGCCCGGCGGCCCCTCCTCCCTCTTGCCCTGTGGTCTCTCTGCATGGTTTCCCCACTACAGACCGGCTGGGCCTTATGCTTTCTAGTTTAGTTCCCCTCCCTGCTGTAGAATGGTTGGGGCTGTCGGCTGCAGGGTGTCGAGGCTTCAGGAAAATTCAGGACCGATTGAGGCTTGAAGTAGCTGGCGGGAAGGGGCTGGATATGATAGGCGGGCCAGATATTTTGGATAGGGGCGCCAGAGGCTTCGTGAAGCTGTTGCGCGGCTTCCAGATCCCCCTTAGAAGCCTCAACCACTAATCCCCTAAATCGTTAAATCCCTAAACCCTCAACCCAAAATATCTCAAACCCAGGAAACCTCTGTAGAATTGTAGAGCTGCGCAGGAATCCTTACAGTAGCCCTTCTGTATAAAGGAACCCATCACACTCAGGAAGCCAAAGTATTTCGTCTCCCATTGGTGGGGGGAGGGTGTCTTGGACTTTGTGGCTTGCCTGGAGCAGCATGCGAACATTCATTCTTTGGGCTTGGATGCATCTGGACTGCGAATTTGAGGAGCTTTTGAGCTGTGTTCAACAAGGGTTCTCAGTAGACTGTAGAAGTAATAGTCACAATGGTTAAACAGTTAAACACGAACTACTTCTAGTAATATTAATTAACAATAACAACAATAGCAATAATTCTAATAAAGATAAATCAAAGCCTCTGTCATAGTCACGGGAAGCTCAGCAAGCAAGGCCCCATATTGGGTTTGTGCCTATGCCAACGACCAACATGAGCTTGCGTCGGCTTTGGGTACAGACCCGAAAGCTAGCTCCTTCTTCCGCGCGCTGGTGGGTGAGGAGTGCCTTGTAACCCTAAGGCTCTAAGGATTCATATTTTAAGGCTTTTGGGCGGCCCACAGACCATACTATATAAGAATTTTGGGGCTATTTTGAGCCTTAGGGTAGTAGCTAAGGAAGCACCTCACAAAATAAAGCCCCGAAGCTCTACAAAGCCTCCAAACCCTAGGTCCTTAGGCTAAGCGGTAAACTCTATTATTTAATACCTTAAATCCTATAGGCCCTAAACCCGGAATTCTGTGGACAAGGTGCAGGGGCGTGCTGCTGATACTGAACCGACCCAGGTCTGACGACATTCCCGCAGGCGTGCCTTTCACGAGGATCTGGTGCCTAGGTCTCCAGTAGACTTTTTTGAAGATGTCTTGATGAAAAAAAGGCTGAGTACTAGGAAACATAGTCTGGGCATGATGAAGGAGGATACTCACTCGCCAAGGTGTGTGTTTGAGCAGTTTGTGGCTCTGACTTCCGAGTATTCTCCCAATCTTTCCTTGGATATCTGCTCTTGGGACGGCAAGGCCGCTCAACTTTTGGTACAGGGCCTCACAGAAGCAGAAGCCAAGGAGGAGAACTTTCTGCCAGGGAAGGGCTATGGCAGGAAGCAGTCGAGAGAGGAGCACTTCCCTCTGGTTACTGGGATCTCGAGCGGTTAATGTAGAAGCCTTAATAATTAAAATTAGAACTACAAGAGGGTTCTGGGCTCCTTAACATTATAAGTATAATATAGGAAACCCTAATGAATAGTATGGGCATTTGTTTAGGCTTCTGGATTGTACTATAGGGGGCCTCAACAGTTGCAATGGTTTGCGGCGTGGTAAGATAATTCCAGGAACACGATTCTAAATTTCTACGGCCCCGATGCTACGCTTGTTTTGCCTTTCGTTGGGTAAAGTTGCCCTGCAGGAAGATAGTATGGTGTAACTCACTTTCTTCGCCTGGTTCATTCAGAGCTCAGTCTAACCTTTGTTGCTTTGTTCGCATCCCTATCGTTATTGTACAGGTTGTCATATATTTGTGGATGCTATCAGAGCCCAAACAAACCCTAAACCCTACACCCCAAACTCCTAAACCCTAAACCCTAAAAGGCCCTAAACCCGAAACCCTGGGCCCAGGTGATCTTGAAGCAGGGCCTTCAGGCCGAACTCCAGAAAGCAGAAGCTTCGGTCCCGGAAGATCGAAAAAGGATCCTCTCTGTGATCTCAAAGCAGGACAGTACCAAAGGCGAGCCCCCTCGAGAGCCTCGCCTGCCTTTTTTCCAGTGCCGGGTTTGGGCCGTCAGCCCCCAGAGATAATTCTCATGGCTACTTCTCTAATCTAAACTAGGGCGCCATTTTAGGTCCCCCAAAATAAGACAGCACCCTTTACAAAGAGGATCCTAAACGGGATTCTACTTAGGAGAACTACCCTCATGGCCCTCAACCCGCAAGGCCCCTCTAAAGCCTTCTCCGAGTGGTCTCGGAGTGCACTGGATACATTCTAAGCTCTAAACCGTACACTGTTAAGGATTGCTAAACCCTATAAACCCTAAACTTCAGAAACCCTAAACCCTAAACCCTAATCCCTAATTTAAACCCTAAACCCTATAAGCCCTCAACTTCAGAGCTTAGCAGAGGAACATCCGGAGTACGACCGCGTGAACTGTGCACTGCGGGGCCTTTTCGCCATCGCTGCGTGGCCTTGTGCAGTGAAATCCGGACAGGCCGGTTTAGGGTTTACGGTTTAGGGGTTTAGGGGTTTAGGGTTTAGGGTTGCTCATCTGACTGTGTCTCAGTCGGGAATGGGGTTATGGCTCATTGGGGCCACTATAGGGGACCTTACAAGGGACTATCATAGGGATCCTTTCCCACTAAGAACCAGGGAGTCATGCTTCATAATCGGGAGGCGTTTCAATCGCTAAGCCCTGAGAACGCTCTGATAAATCCCGATGACACCCTAACAAGATTTGTATAACACCCCCTCCCCCCCCCCCCCCCCAAACATGAGCAAGAAGCAAAAAAGCATAAGCCCTCGTAGAAACCGTCAACAACCCATAAGCCCAAAAACCCCTAAAGCCCCTTAATCCTAAACCCCAAGACGCTCTAACACTCAAACCTTAGAAACCCCAAAGTACTGGGCCCTGGGCAAAGAACCCTTAACCCTCAGAACCCCTAACCCCTGACAGTCTCGATCATCTGGAGCTCAAGAGCCCCTCATCCCTAAACGCTGCCTACAGTCTCCGTTGTAGTTTTTTTGTATGTTTTTTGTGGGGGGGGGGAGGGGGCATGACCTTATAGGATCCGAAATATAATAAACTGGTGAGACCAAAACCAAAGGAACTACAATGGATACTATCGG